TGGGGGGGCTGGGAGAGGGCTGAGGGGATGGAGGTAAGGGAGTGGAGGGTGCTGGGGTCACGAGGGAGGGGGGATATGGGGTAGGGGATGGGAAAACTGGCACAGGTAAGGGTGTGGGGGTAGAATTGAGGAGGGGAATAGGGTAGGGACTAGGAAGGGATGCGGGGTGATACTGGGATGGCTCTTGGAGGGCTGTGGGAACAAGTAGAGGCGCCTGGGAAGGGATTCAGGCAATGGAATGGGACTGTGTGCTAATGGGGGGGGATTGGGGTCCCACCAGGTGGGGAATAGGGGAACAGAAGGGGATGGGAAGGGGATTGGAGGCACTGGGATAGAACTGAGACAAACTGCGGGCAGGGGGAGGAAAACGAGGGGCAGTGTGCGGGCAGGGGGGGCTGGGGGGGGCGCGGGGGGTGTTTGAACCCCTCACCCCCCTCCCAGGTGCGGCACCTGGAGGTGAGCAGCGCATCCATGGCCGAGGATCTGTGCCGGAAGAGCGCCATCATTGAGAGCTTCGTGAGGGACAGCCGGCTGGGTGAGCCCCCCCGTGTCCCCCCACCTCCCCCCACAGGGCCGGGCACAGCGCCTCACCGCTCCCGTTCTCCCCCCCAGAGGCTGCAGGACCCCCCGCTGCCTCCCGGCGTGGGGCGGGGCCGGGTGAGGAGGGGCTGCGGGAGATGAACAAAAAACTGCAGAACCTCCTGGAGGAGCAGCTGACCAAAAACCTGCACATGAGCCAGGTGGGCGGGGCCTGGGGTGGGCGGGGCTTTGGCCTTTCTGTGCCCTAAGGGGCGTGGTTTGGCCGGGGGGTCGTGGCATCTTCAAGTGGGTTCGGTCTGTTGGGGGAGGGGCTTGCATTGACCCGCCCTTCCGTTTTCTGTCCCCAGGACCTGGAAATGCTGTCCCAGGAGCTGGCGCGGCTCCGCAATGAGAGAGCTCCGCCGTGAGCGACAGCCGACGCCCCGCCCGCTCCCCGCTGCTGTACAAAGTTCTGCTGCTCGGGCCCACCGCGGTGATGCGGCCGCTTTAAGGGGGCGTTGCCGTTTTGAGGGGGCGGAGCATGCGACCCCCGTTCCCTCCCCCGCCTCAATAAAGTGCTCCAATCCGCTGCCGGTGCGTCATTAGGGGCGGGGCTTGGAGGGCGGGGCGGGGCGTGATCAGCACACGCATGTGCCGCGTTGCCGTCGAGCCCACCCTGTGACGTCACTTCCGGGAAGCAACCCGGATGTTGTTGCCGCCGCGGTGGCCGCAGGACGGGGACGCGCTCGGCGCGGCGCTCCGGATCACCCCGAACTCCGCTCCGAGGCCGCGGGGCCCGCGCCGTGACGTCAGCGCGGTGACGTATAGCGCTTCTCCGTTCCCACCCGTCCGCCGGGCGGCGGCGACCCGAAGGCCGCCTCCATGGCGTCCCCGGGGGGCGGGGCCTGCGGGGACGAGGAGTGCGAGGTAGTGCGCGTGCGCGTCCAGGTGAGGCGGGGCTTGAGGCCGGGGAGGTCACGTGGGGGGAGGGGACGTCGGTCACGTGACGGCGCTGGGCAACGAGGGGCGAGCGCGGGAGCGGCGAGGCGGCGTCTCCATGGCAACGCGGCCGGGCGCTGTCTGAGGCGCCGCCGCCATTTTGCGCGCAGAAGACCGAGGGGCCGCAGCCGCCCGTGTTCCGCTCGTTCGCCGTGGACCCGCAGATCACCTCGCTGGACGTCCTGCAGCACATCCTGGCTCGCGCCTTCGACCTGCAGGGGTGAGTGCAGCCCTGCGTCCCCCCCCCCTTCCTGCTCCGGGCCCGGCCTGACGCGCTGTGCCCGCAGGAGGCGGAACTTCGCCCTCAGCTTCGCAGCCCGCGACGCTCAGGGCCGGGAGAGCTTCGTGCCGCTGCTGAGCGATGGGGATCTGGCGGCCGCCTTCACCGCCGCCCGGCCCGCCCTGCGCCTGCGCCTGGACGTGCGCCCCGCGGCCGACTGTGAGCAGCCGGGGGGGGGCTGGGGGCGCACCGACAGCCCCCGGATTGGCGCTGATGCTGCCCCCCCGCCCGCAGGCCCGCTGCTGGAGGACTGGGACATCATCAGCCCCCGAGAGGTGGCGGCCGCCGAGCCCGCCCCGCCCCCCCCCGCCGAGCGCCGCTCGCTGCTGGCCGCCGCCGTGCCCTTCACGCAGGCGCTGTGGGCGCAGGTGGGCCCCGCACCCTTCGGCTCCTTGTCCCCTTCCGTTGTGCCCCAGCTCCCTCCCAGCATCTCCTCGTACCCCCATGTTTATTGCCAGCACTTACAGTGTTTCTCTGCCTCCCGTTTTCAACCTTCCCATTTCTTTTCTAACTTGCTCAGTACTGCCTTACTAACTGTTGGCTGCTGTAGTGCTTCCAGTGTTCTATCGAGGCTCCTGGCTTACCTCCAATCCTTCTCTGTATTCCCAGTCCCCCTCCCGGTTACCCCACAGTCTCCTCCCATTGCCCCAGTCCCCCCAGTTTGCTCCTAATTCCTTTCTAGTGCCACAAAGCTCCCTCAGTATCCCTCCAGTCCCTCTCTAGTGCTCTGTCTCCCATTCTATGTCCCCCATTGCCACCCAGTTACCCCCCAGTCCCTTTCTCCTGTCCATAGACCTACTTCCCAACGTCTCCCAGTCCCTCCCAGTGCCACCAGTTCCCCTCCTAGGTGGGCCGGACGTTGGCGCGGGCGCAGGCAGCTTTGGCCTGGTCCGACAGCACTTCCCAGACCCCCACCTCGCCGCCATCCACCCCCCCTCCGCCGTGTGCCCCGCTGAGCGACGCCGACCTGCGCTCCTACCTGGGCCCCGGTGGGCGCCTGCTGCGGCCGCACGACCTCCGCCTGCACGTCTACCACGGCGGCGTGGAGCCTGGGCTGCGCAAGGTGGGTTCAGAGCCATCTCACCCTCCCCTGTTGTCCCCAGATTTGTGTTCTTTTGCCCTAATTTCTTCTTGTTGTCGCCCCAAAAGGTGGTGTGGGCTCAGAGTTGTCTCATGTATTCCTTGTTGTCCCCAAATCCGCGTTTTTTTGCCCTAATTTGTTCTTGTTCCCTCCGTGAAGGTGGTGTGGCGTTACCTACTGAACGTCTTCCCCGCCGGGCTGTCAGGACAGGAGCGCCTGGCCCACCTGCGGCGCAAAGCCGACGAATACACGGCGCTGAAATCCCTGCTGGCCTCGCGGGCGGCCCCAGCAGAGCTGGCCTTGGTGGCGGCCGCCGTGCGCAAGGACGTGGTGCGCACCGACCGCGGGCACCCCTACTTCGGGGGTCCCGAGGAGGGGCACCCCCACCTGGCAGCGCTGCAGGCTCTGCTCACCACCTTCGCTTTGGGCCACCCGCGCCTCTCCTACTGCCAGGGTATGTCGGACGTGGCTGCGCCGCTGCTGGCCGTGCTGGACGATGAGGCTCAGGCCTTCCTCTGCTTCTGCTCCTTAATGCGGCGCTTGGGGCCGCGCTTCCGCCCGGGGGGCCGAGGTTTGGCCCGGGCTTTTTCCCACCTGAGGCGGCTGCTGCGCCGCGCAGATCCGCCCTTCTGGGCCTTCCTGGCCGCCCGCGGCGCCCACGATTTGCTCTTCTGTTACCGCTGGCTGCTGCTGGAGCTGAAGCGCGAGTTTGCCTTCGAGGACGCGCTGCGGGTGCTGGAGATCACCTGGAGTTCCCTGCCGCCCGCCCCACCGCCACCCCCCGAGGGGATCCCGCTGCTGGGAGCGCCCCTGGGGGCACGCAGGGCACGGCGGGGGCTGCGGGAGAGGAGGGGGATGCGGCCTCGGCCTCCCCGGCGCCGGAGGGAGAAGCGGGGAGGGGGCGTCCAGGAGGGTCCTGGCAGCTCCGAGGACAAACTGAAGGCTGACGGGTTGGAGCCCATCGCCTGTGGTCCCGATGTGTGTAAAAATGATGGCCCAGAGGATCTCAAAATCAGCAGGGAAAGTTCCGCTGTCCCAAAGAAGCCCGCAGACGTTTCCACTGCAGAGATCTGTGCCCAACCCGACGTCTCCAGGAAGGCTCATGAGAACAGCAAAGTGATGTCAGCAGATCTCAAAAGCTGCAGGGGAGGCGTTGGAGGCCCCGAGAGCTTTGAAGACATCGGCACAAAGGGTGCCTACGAAGGTCTGAGCGTCCCCAGAGCGATGCAGACCCCAAAGGAGGTCGGGGGGAACCACAGTGAGGTCGGTGGTGACTGCGGGGAGGTGAGTGTGGAGCTCAGAGGGGCCAGCAGGAGCTCCAGCATCCAAAAAGAAGTTTGTGAAGAACCCAGAGAGGCCGGTGGGGATCTCAGCGATACCAAAGAGGTCAGTGAAGATCCCATAAAGATTATCAAAGATGATAAAACTCCCAAAGAGGTCAGCGGGGACCCTAAAGGGATTGGTGAAGTCACCAAAGGGGTCGGCAAGGACCCCAGTGCTGCCAAGGAGTTTGGTGAAGACCCCAAAGAGGTCGGTAGTGACCCCAGGGAGGTCGGTGAAGGCCCCGCCGTTGCTGGGGAGCTCGGTGAAGATCCCACAGAGGTACGTGACGACCCCACAGACCCACACAGCGACCCTACAGCTGTGGATGCAAATCCCAGCACGGCCACTGATGCCCTGGAGGACCCGTGGGCGGGAGGCTGGGCTTGGGAGGACTCGTGGTCCTCCTCTTCCTCCTCCTCCTCCTCTTCCTCGGAGGAAGAAGAGGTGGGTGTGGAAGATGACGGGGCACCGCTGCCGCCGCCAGCAGAGCTGGGCCAGGGGAATCCCTTCCTGCTGTTCGTGTGCCTGGCCATGCTGCTGGAGCAGCGGGAGGCGGTGATGGCACGGGCCGGTGACTACAACGAGGTTGCCATGCACTTCGACCGCCTGGTCAGGAGGCACCAGCTGCCCCGCGTCCTGCGCAGAGCCAAGGGGCTCTTTGCCCGCTACCTGGAGGGCTGGGGGGGAGCGGCTCCGGGGAGCCCCACGCGTGGGTAGGGGGGACCCCACGGGGGAGTTGGGGGGTGGGGGGGAACCCCACGGGGGTTGTGGGCTGAGGTGGGACTGCTGAGTTGATGTGGGACCCCATAAAGACTCCATGGGGGCTCATCAGGTTAATATGGCAACCCCAGATAGACTTCATGGGGAGCAACCTGTATAGACCCTTGTAGGGGAGCTGGAGATTGAGGTGGGACCCCATAAAGACCCCATGGGGACTAGTGAAGTTAATATGGCAACCCCAGATAGATCTCATGCGGAGCAACCCCATATAGACCCTACTGGGGAGCTGGAGGTTGAGGTGGGACCCCAAAAGACCCCCCAGGACTCGTTAGGTTAATATGGCAACCCCAGACAGACCCTATGGGGAACTGGGACCCCATGGAGATGCCTAGGCTCATATGGGGACCCCGCCTCCTTGGGGACCCTGTTGACCCCCTGTGGTTGCAGAGGCCCCCCAGCTCTCCCCACATCCCCCACATCCCATGGAGTGGCCACAGAGCCCAGCGTAGCCCAGTGCCTCCCAGTACAAAGCACTACAGCGTCCCAGCTGGGAGCTGCCCTGAGTTGGACCAGTATGGACCAGTATGGACCAGTACTGCTTCCCAACTGGGATCACTGCACCAACATCCGCGCGGCCTTCAGCCCCCCCCCAGCACGGATCAGCACAGACCAGTATGGCAGCTCAACTGGAACTCCATCTGCGTGGCCTTGCGTCGTCCCAGTAAGGACCAGTACAGACCAGTACAGCATCGTGCCCGGGATCTTCTCACCTGCGTGGCCTTGTGTTTTCCCAGTAAGGACCAGTACAGAGCAGCTGGGCTTCCCAGCTGGGATCTCATCTCATCTATGAGTTCTCCCAGTACGGACCAGTGCACCCCAGTTCCTGTCCCCAGGTGCCTTTTGCCCCCCCTTATTTATTTCCCCCCCCGCTATGGGGCACCGATGGCACAAATAAAGCTGAGGCCTGGCAGCTGTGGGCTGTGGATTGCAGTGCGGACCAGAGGGCTCTGTATGGGCCGGGGATGGGGAGGGGGCGTCAGTGTGAGCCCCTCCCAGTACAGACTGGGGCTGGTGGTTGGGGTCCTGGTCCGTACAGGGAGAGAAAGGAGCTCCCATCCCATTACGGGCTGGAAATGCTTCAGCATGGACTGGGAAGGGGTCCTGGTTGCTGATGTGGGATAGGAGGGGGGGAGATGGGGATGTGGGGGTCCCCGGGGGGAGGGGCTGTTCTGCCACCCCCGCCCTGAGCCTCCCAGTTCCTCCCAGTCACCCCAGTTCCCCTCCCAGGCCGGAGGTGACGTCCCTGCGGCCGCGGGGCTCAGGGTGCTTCCGGGTGGAAGAGGCCCCAGCGAAGGCCCCGGGGGTGGAGAGGGTGCTGGGGGGGTTCCGGGCGTTGGGGGGGTGCCACAATGAGCCGGGGGGGGCGGGGGGCTGCCCCAGCAGCTGAGAATGTTGGCTCGGTGCTGCTGCAGCAGCAGGAAAACCTGCAACTGTTCGAGCTGCTGGGCCGGAAATGTGTGGTGAGGGGATGGGGGACCCTGTGGTTGCAGGGGGGGCCATGGGGGGTCCTTGGGGGTCCCGT